ACAGGGAGAACCGGACTCTCCAGGATCACAGAACCAGCTGGAACACAAACGTTTTACATCTCACGCTGAAATCTTCAAGTTCAGGGAGTTCAACAGGTTGACAGATGTGTTCAATCTCATCTTTAAGCTGCCTTGAAGTTAAAGTTTAGTTAAATTTCAGATAAAACTTGTTGAACTTACAGAGACAGATCTCTGAACCAGCTGGAACACGTTTCTGTTCACTTCTATAATGTGCCTTTGAGTTAGTTTTTGAAGATTTTTTGTGCTGACTTCTTCTAGAAACTCAAACCTACCGGTGACGGTAATGTTGCTGCTGCTGCATTAGCATTAGCTTGTATTTAATGGATCATTTACAATATTGTTGGACATATTTGATCATCATGTTGATATAAAACTTACTACCATTTACATTACCTCAGTGGAAATGTTCTTGAGATGGATGTAGTCGCCCATCTGCTGACCTTTTTTACAGTTATGGATCCTTTCAGGTCCAGCTGAGAAACAACACACAGGTCAGTCATTCAGGTGTGTGTGCAGGTTTAACTTACAGTGTGGGGACCCACATCTGTCCACACAGTGACATTACAGGGACACAACTGATAACATCTGATCTATGAAAGAACCAAAGTGAATGATTCATGTGTTTCAGTGATTCCATCGTAGTATGTTGAGCTCAAGAGTGTCATTAACAATAGAAATGTCTTGTTTCTTGCTGCAGGGAGCAGAAGAGGCCTTCTCTCACTGCTTGAAGCATTGAAGCATCAATATTTATCAGATTTGACACAGTTTCTGTTTCAGATGTACGTCTGCTGGAAGGAAACAGTTGGATTTGTTTGGTTTTGCAGTAGATAATATAACAGTTTACTATTAAAACAACATAATGCATGAAGTACACGTGCACATCAGAGATAAACTGAGTCTCTGTCTCTGAATGTGTCACACTTAAAACCTCTGAAAACCACTTCATTGATGTCGTGTGAGTTTCTTTAAACATGTAAAATGTTGTTTCATACGTCACATGAACCCATGTACCTGGAGAGGGTTTTAAATCCAGAACTCCAGTTACAAGCCTGCAGTAAG